AAGTGGAGTGCAGTTGCGTTTTCCTTTGTCAGACCTATAATGAATAGAAATGTTTTAACACAGCAGGCTTAATTAAGGTAGAGAGTTAGGCTGTTGTTTTATGTAACACTGTATTGACTGTATATACAAATAGATGATGAAGCTCGACCTCCTCCTGTTGTACAAAAGGGAAGCTAAAATAACTTATGCAGTGAGCACTGACATCTTGAGCTGGAGACGAATTTTGTGTCTGCGCGCTAGAAACTGGGACTACTGACATCCGTTTACCAAAACCTATTAACTTTACCATCAACACGACAAAGATCCTCACCCTCAGTTCAAACCACTGCGGCACAGTGTGTTGGTTTGAAGCAGACATTCACGGCTGTAAGTTTTATGACTTTTGGTGTTACAGTCTGTTCCTTCTCTACTTTGCTAATCCGGTGCACACATCACCGCAGGAGCTGCATTTGTCAGTAGATATGTCAATCATGGCTTTAGACTCCTTACAGTGGCATCAGACAGTAAATTAAGACCAAGCTTCTCGGAAATATGAACACTTTTCATTTGTGTGGGCCGTGCCCATGCTTGCAGACAAGGTGTAGTTTAGGTGGATGTGTTATTTGTGCATACACTGGTAGTGCACTGTTTGTGAAACATAGCCGTCATAGGAGGCCAAGTAATGCACTCTTTCTGACCTTCTAACCCTGAAAACATCCCCTCAGACAAACCAGAAGTGTTTGTGTTTTTCGTGCTTGAAGGAGAAATGGAGCCAGTCTCCATGACCCTCCACTCCTTGTGGATCACGCTTCCGTACACACAAACACACACTCAAGATGTCAGGCCAGTTTCACACACCAGTGAACACAGTGTTGCTACACCTTCTCTCCCATCGCGTCACACCTTCTTGTGAGCTCTGCCCCTTTTTTTTATCATCCCTTCTCTTCTGTTTATTCAGTCTTCCATCACTTCTCTCGCACCTCTTCACCCTTTCTGCCGCTTCCCTTTCCATCATCCCAAACCTCCTTTCACCTTTTTTTTTTTTTACTGGATCGATTTACCCAATGTCAGTCAAAATCTTGGAGGATGTTCAGGGTAAACAATCCTGATGTAATTCCATCGAGGAAATGGTAAAGATGTTGCTGGAACTCTTCCTGCTACTTTCATTATGTATCTGTGAGCAAGTATTTGATTGTACACTTGCCAATCATTCACAACAACAATAAAGAGCAACACAGCAAACCACATCATATAACTTCTTTTGCTTATACATGTCAACACTATGACCAATCTGAAACCCCAAATGTTTGTTGGAAAAGCACTAGCTTAATTTTGCATTAAACAAGCTGTATTCCAGCACCCTCTTTTATCAAGCTGTTGTATAAATAAGAAAGGAATGATTTTACACAGAAGACTACTCAGGAGACTACTCTGTTTAAACTACGATAAGTTATGGGGAGAAAATGTGAAGAAAGAAGTACCACAGTCATTTCTGTACGTTTAACGTGATGTGGCAGGGAACTTGTTAGCAAACAGGTCCCTATGCACCCAGAGCACACAGCGGAACAATTCTGTTTCCTGTATTCTGTAATCAGACTCTATCTATCTCTATTAAAGTTGTGTTTTAATTTGACGGGAAATATGAGGCTGTTAAGGTGCCAATTGTTCCACTAATAATCATCAGCTAGTTGGTAACTGTGTTTGCTCATTGTTTTGTGCAATTAGCGAAGGAGCTATTTTTAGAGCTTCATAACCAGACATTACTGCATGTTGCCAAAAGTTAACGAAAAGTCTAAGCAATAACACAAAAATAATGATAAAAAAGACCTCATAAAGCTCTTTAGAACTACAGATTTGGGTATAGCAAAAATGGCAAATGAAAATGTGATTCAGTTTCTGCCGTTCACAACGAAAACTTGAACCCTTCTAGACCATGAACATCCAGCCCAGCTGCCCCGTCTGCCACTGAAATGAGGGACAAATGAAGAGTTTGTAACGGACCACTGAACAGTACACCTGAGAGGTTTCTCTCTCTCTATCTGCCCCCCCCCCCCCCCCCCCACATATGCACACACACATACACATACAGGGCTAGAGTCAGAGAAACACCCTTGAGATTCGATCCATCCTTGTTTTTATATGAATGGGCAGGCGCACTGGAGCTGTCTCAATTTTTCACTCATCACAGGATTCAGCTACACACGGTGACCCGGCTTCCCTTTGGGACCCGAGGTTGTTATAACACTTGTATCTTCCAGGATAGCTACATTATAAAAAATGTCCCATGTGATTTAAAACAGATTTGTTGACTAGCGTAGTGAGCGTTACATCTCTTCTATTGTTACCACTCGGTAAAGGTAATGTTATATTGTTCTTATAAACACAAATTGATTCTAGAATGATAAAATAAAATTGTAGGTAGCCTATGCAATAAAAAAGGAAATGGCTGATAGCTTGAGAATGACACATTTTGCGTCTTAGAACTAGCTAGCAGCCCCTTAGCTTACATGGCTGCTAGCTAAGGGTGGCTGTAAGTGACCAAGAAATATTTTAGCAGGACCTCTGAGTCTTGATAGTCTACAACGAGTGAGAAGCGCAAGTCCCGCTGGCTGTGTTGATGTCGGAGCGTTTTTAGATCAGTCATTCCTTGTAAAGCTACATGCAATGTGAAGCTACGCGCTAACTAAAGTGTGCCAACATTAGCACTAACATTAAACACAATTGCCTGTGGCCCCCGACATTAGCCAAGGACAATTTTCTCCACCACTTGCGGTTTACGCCTTGGTGCGAGGGCGAGGGGAGGGGTGTTGGAGGTGTGTCACTGGAGGACAGCGGAGGCTTCAGTGTGGCCGAACAGTAGTTTGTTTTGGTTTCATGCTGGTGTTCAGCACCAACAAACTATATTGGAAACCGTAAGTAAACACACAGAGGAAAGTCAAGTGGTCTGTGGTCTCTGAAGGTGAGACAATGAGCCAGCAAAGAGTGCTGCAACTCAGTGATTTTAGAAAAAAAAAGATGTTAAAGAAAAGAAGTGAAGCTACATAATTAGTTGTAGTTACATCACTTGTAGTCCTTTGAATACAAAGGCACATTTTGATGTCGCTCAGGGACTGAAAGCAAAAGAAACCAATCTTTTTTGATCTGTACTTTTTCAGCCGCTTGACATCTAATCTTTTTTGAAGATTCATCTGTGCTTAGATCTAAATGACTGCGAGGCATTTACTGCTTGAACGAGTAAACAAGCGGCTGGATAATTAAACCCCTGATTTAAATATAATTAGCCATCAAGTTAGCAATGCGCATAGACTTGCATAGCTAATTTAGCCTTCCACTTTTGTGCGAACAGCCAATTTAACAACAAATGCCAGGTTGTCCCCCCCCCCCCATGTCTGCTCTTCTTCCAGAGGTGCACGCTCCAGTCTCATAAGGATGAGCTGTGGAGGTGCATACATCCCTACGTGACTCTTTCTGCATCGTAATCACGCTGGTCTGTTTTACCTTGACAGCTAAAAACAGAGCCGGCAGAGACTGATCAAGGCGCTGAATTTTTTTTTTCAAAAGTCAGACAGCTCTAAAACGAAGAACAAGGGTGATGAAATAAGTGATGAAACACATGAGTTTAATCAGAATCTGTTGACGCTGGCACTCTGTGGGAAATCCTCACCTCATCAGCCTCCCCCACTGGACAACGGGCAACCTCCCAGAGTGCCTTGCTGCGTGGCCTTTTCAATAATGTAGAAGGGGAGACGAAATGAGAGAGGAAACGATTTCCTGGCACCGTAGGAGCCCCTTCTGTGACATTTACCTCGAGCAAAGGCCCTCAACATATGTGTGTGTGTGTGTGTGTGTCATGGCCCCGTGCCACACTAATGATACCCCCCTCTGGCACACACACTTTGAGGCACAAAACTCTCCAGTTAGCTGTACCACATGTGTCCTTTGGATTCAACGCCCAAAGAAAGCGACTGAAAGGAAAATATGAGAGAAAAAACTCCCACTTAAATGTGGAGCTGCGCAACAAAAGACGGGCAAAAAGAGGTGAAAGGAGCCAGAGATCATCCTGTTTAATTCACCTGTTACCATTTCATACTTCATTAAGCATCCCCCCCCCCCCTTTATTTCCAGCACATGGTGGTCTCCCTTGTCTCTGCAGGGAGTCCACAACCCCCCACCTGCACACATGGCGTCTATCATTACCTCCCTGCTTCAGCTCAGGGCCTGCAGAATGTCACACAGCTGGAGCGAGAGGCTCTGAAGACAGATGGAAAAGTAAACCTCAGCTGAATGTCGTTAAAAAAAAAAAAAAGACAACAGAGAACACTTGTGCTGCTCACTACACAGTTACAGGAGAGATTCACTGGAGCGCTTTTAACCAACGTCGACTTAAGAGTAGATGGAACGTAGTCAGGGAAACTGTGCCATCATTTGTCGTTGAATCACATCACTTGATCTTCAGAAGACATTTTTCAAGGCATTTGTAGACCTCTCATCAAAGTTAGTTCAAATCTCGGAAGAAACAATTCAGAAAACAATTTTTGTGGGGAGCCGGTAGCCAAGAGGCTAGTCATGTACGGAGGCTATAGTCCTTCAAGTGGGCAGCCCCAGTTCAAATCCGACCTGTATCTCCTTTCTGGCATGTCATTCTCCACTCTCTCTCTCACCCATTTGTCCAATCTTACTAATTACTAATGCTAGTAGCAAAAGATGCTATGCTAAAGATATTCTTTGGGCTTGATTTGATTGGACAGCTTCAGGAAGACAGGAAATGCCAGGAGGAGGGAGTTGGGGACAGCAAAAGGCCGAGGTCAGACCCGAAACCCACGGTTGCTATGACGAGGACCACAGCCTCTGTACATGGGGCACGCGACATAACCGCTAGGCTATCGGCGCAACGATGCTAGCAACTACTCGCTGTTTAGCCAATTGGATTGCATGTTGTTGATTGCGGCTAACTATACAGCACATTAACACACATTTTTATCCATAATTGTCAGGTTTATTATTGCTTTTTTTTTTTTTTATATACCTTATTATCATGTGATATGATCTTAAACTTCAGGATAGCTAACAAATGCACATTGTGGTGACATTTTCTCAGCTACAGATGCATATAAGGAGTTTTTGTCCATAAAGATATACCTCAATAATAATCATAATAGAAACACTGAATATGAAGCCCATAACTCCTATAGACATAAATGTACCCCATAATACAGAGAAACCAAGCCTTAGTTTTGCAATCAGTTTCCTTCAACACCCACTGTCAAGACTTAAAAATGACGCGGTGTCAGGGCGCTGAAAAGAGGTCACAGCTCAGTGTCAGCGTCTGTTTACACGGAGAGAAGAGACGGATGACTGGTCGCGTAAATCACCTGCCTGTCTGTGTAAATAAATGACAAACTAAAGTCAGCACGTGACCCCGCTGTCAGAAATGGACGCCTCTGAAAATGTTGACATTAATTCAAAAAGTAACCTGTCTTTAAAGAGTGGCGGCACATGAAGACGACCCCCCCCGAGAACATCATGTATCAGATCAATTAGAGGGACTGTGTAAGAAGCTTGTGCACAACTGAACATTTTGTTGATAAAACAAACTTCTAGGATGAGGTAGGGCGTTGATTGCAAATGGCTCATCAGAATGTATTTTCTATTTTCAAACCCTGATTGTCTTTTAGAGTTATAATAAAAATGATTATGGGACAATAAGTGGGAGAAAATGCATACTTCTGGCAGCACAAGTATTAAATCTTAAGGCCTTAAAATATTTAAATTGACTTTGTCATGATGCCTCTTACGATGACTCGTTTAGAAGAGAGCGCTGGATCTCATAGGCCAATGCTGACCCCTTGTGGTTCAAACAAAACACTACCACCATCTCATGAAGCAGGCACACAGTGTCTGACTTACAGCAGCGGTCAAAAAGCGGCTTCATTTCTACTTTTTAAGCTTCCTTGTCTCAGTAAACCCGGCCTGGAGGCTTCAGACTGTCTCAGCAGCAGCTCTCGGGCCAGGTCGGGCCTCCCGCTCTTGGCTAAGCAGTGAGCCAGCTGAGAGGCCTTGGGTTTTCGCGTGGCAGCGGGAAGTCCTCGCCTCCACATGGCGAGGATGTGGAAGGCCTGGCTGGACAGACCGCCCCCGGCCCGGAGCTTGACCAGCTGGGCGGCGCTACGGCGGAGACGCAGGGAGAGCACCAGGAGGGAGACTTCCTCCTCTGAGAGCTCCTCAGACAGCCAGAGAAGAAGAGAGTCTGACAGAGAGTCTGCTGGGGACAAAAATGAAAAGAGGAAAGGTATAGGCAGAGAATACGCTTCTTGTATTACTCTTTAATTTAAACAATTTCCATTTTAATTAATTATTATAACAAATAGGCATTTTAATTTGCAATTGGTGGGATTTGGGCTGAGTCTCTACCAGCCTGTGAGCAGTGACTCGTCACAGACGGAGCAAACTGTGAGAGCCTAAATCCTCAGGAAGATGTCCTGGGGTGGATTGTTCAACAGAGTCCATTTTGGTTAGACGAGACCAGCAGGTGAACCAGTGTCAATGGGATAGGAAGATCAATTGTTTCAAATTATTTGGGGATGATGATGATTTGGTTGAATTTATTTTCAGCTGAATTTGACATATTTATTTAGATCATAGCTTTTTATGCCTTTGTTTGGGGGGGCAGAAGAGTGGACAGAGTTGGAAATCTGAGAGGGAGAGAGAGAGAGAGAGAGAGAGAGAGAGAGAGAGAGAGCGAGAGAGAGAGAGAGAGAGAGAGGGGGAATGGCATGCAGGAAAGGAGCCACAGGTCTGATTTGAACCTGGGCCGCCCACTTCGAGGACAACAGCCTCTGTACATGAGGTGCGCAAAAAAAAAACGGCCACTGAGGCCCCTTGAACCTCTTTTCAATACAGAGTTTTAAAATTTGTTTTTGGAACTAAAATAAATGAATCAGGTATTCACACAGAGAAAGCTGAAAACGTTGATCATTTCAGACATTTTGAAATCACATTTTTTTAGGTAGTTTTTTGTCGGTAGAATAAAGCCTATATTCTGGAACGAAATAAACAGAACAAAAAGATCTTGTTGGAGAAACCATTATTTTTTAAGGAAATCTAATCTGCAAAATATGCCAATTCACCAGTAAGTTTTTATTGAAGCTAAAATGGAAATCCTCCAACCAGGAGGCTTTGTCCCGGCAGCAGAGGCCGGGCTCTCGAGTAGACCGACCCACACCTTCAGCGAGGTGATCCAATACTACTACTGACGTCCCTGACGCCAAGCCACCACCATCGGACTGCGTCGTCCCCACAACCACCTCCGTCCTCATTCATGCCCGGCCTGCTCCGACCTCCACCTCAGCGGCAAGGAAGTGTGGACAACAGGAACACGAGGAATACAATGGAGAAATCCTTCCTGCATTTTATCCCATCTGCGTCTATCCAATGACTCTTAACAATGAGTATGGTCTTCAACCAGCTCTTTTGAAAAGCGTCTCGAGGTAACACTTGTTATGAATTGGTGCTATACAAATAATGATTGATTGATTGACAGTACAGGTATCTCAAAACTGTACAAAAAAACGTGGCCAAAGGGTAAATAATAGTGCAATGATAATTTGGCAGCTCTAAATGATATCACTGAAATATCAGTGACACCCTTAAATGCCAAAGCAAGAAAAATAACACAATATTTAACGCTGGATTATTCGGGAGAGCCGGAGAGAGATTGTTGTTTTGCATGGCCTTTGGGTACATTTTACTTGAAATAGGTATAATTATTACGGAGAGTATATTACTAAGGTTTATCAAAAACACAGAAAATGTCACCCACCCGTCTCCTCGCACAGCCTCACCCTCGCCATGATTGGCCGATTGATGGTTCTAGCTTTCTGCGAAAGAAAAAAAAAAGAAGTTTTGAAAACTCCTTACAGTGTCGGGTAAGTTTCAAGAATCAAGAATGATATAGAAGTCTTTGTTAGTTCTTCTTCACCTTGGGTAAAGTCAGAGACAGCTTACAGACGGGATCTCCCAGGAGCTTTGTGTCCATCGGGACTAGTCTGTCTCCTCGCCACTCCAGCTGACCTCTGGTGACATTATAAATCACAGCCGTGCCTTTGTAGTGGGGGGAGCTGTAGTTCCCAAACGGGTCCACTTCAGATAGATGGAGCAAGAGGTGATTCTTCTGCTGACTGTGGAAGGTGAGTCGCTGCTCGTCTTTATGAGTACCTTTTGAAACAAAAATCTATTGATAGGTAAATTCTTGCTTTCTCCTGACTCTTCATATGTCTTACATGTCATATCTTAAACGTCACATTAATCCATAACCTGTCTTTCATTATACTTAAGGATTCAGCCGATACAGTGGTCAAGATACATGATTACACAGCAAAGAAGATAAGCTGCCGGCTGCCTGTACAATCATGTGATCTGTCTCACTTAGAGTCTGTTGCATTTACTTCTGTGACTACAAGCAGCAGGAAAGGAACAAACTAAGAGTTTAACATTCTTACTTCCCCAAAAAGATCAACAACTGGTGTGACCTATTGTATGATGCTGAAACTAAACTTTAGGCTCAGGTTATGTATTTACTGCGTCAACCTTTAAGCAGAAAAATATATGGGGAGAAGGATTGACCTCTCTAAAAAAGGAAGGAAAAGTTACTGTATACAGATGAAAACATATTTACTGACTCTGACATGTGACTCTTTCATCCTTCCATGAAGTGCATGTTTAGGTTTTTGTCAAGTCCAGAGAACCCTTCATTGTGAGAATACCCCCATCCGCCATCTTTGCATAGAATAGCTTTTTATCTTTACCTATCACCAACTTGCATATGTCAGAGCACTTGCACTCTTGAACCAAGGCTTTTAGGAAGTCACTTTAGTATGTACAGAAGACATGTTGGATAAAGTGACGACACACTGACAAAAATGTAACTATAAATTAGTGCTGTCAATCCATACCGTTCTTAAGAATTATTGGATTAATCGCTGAATTTCAATAGTTAATTGCGATGAATGGCATTTTTATCGCCTTTTTGAAATTATATTATTTTGCATTTCAAAAATGCTTTTGTAATGCTATTATTTTGAAATTGTATACTGTCTAAAGACTATGTATTATGCTTCCTGTTTGAATACAAACCTGCATTCATTTTGAAATAAAATGAGGAACTTCTCGTTACTGATACAAAACGTAATGAAAACAGCTAAAGAGAAGTAAAGAGAAGAAAACATGATTTAAAACATTTTTAATTGGGGACCTTGATTTTTAGTGTTAATGCTGACAGCTCTACCATACATATTAGTATCAATTATAACTATACTGTAGGAGGTCCTTAACATAAAAAGTAATCATGAAGTATTTATATGTGCGGCCTATATTAGTTGACATCTCGTGTGGATAATTTACATGGAGTTTAGCAAATGTTTGTTGCCATTGTTTGTTGTTAATATTCATTGTTTGTGTGTTCAGCCCGTCATTTCTCATCTGACCAAAAGAAGACTGGAAGCTAGAGTAGCATAATGAAAGCTAGCATGCTAACATTTCAAAATTAGCACTTAATTAGAATTAAGTAACCAAGTTTCTAGATCAGGACTAAGAAGTAAACTGGAAGACTTTAGAACTTCTAAAGTTTAGCAGTAAGTCATTAGTGTGTGTTAATAGTAATTAGCTTTAAGCTGCAAAAGTAAGGTAGCGGTACTTCCAAAGACTGCCAGCTAATGAAATTAGCAGGTATTAAGCCATAAATCTATTGGCCAGAAATATTTCAGGGACGTTTTTTGGGGGTTTCATCGTCTGGAAATGTTCAGTGTTGCAACAAAATTTTATGGGCACCCAACAAATTTAAAATAGACACTATACATGTAGGCTATAATAGAGCTTTTAATCCAAGAGACCTAAACAGGGAGCAAGAATAAATAGAAATTGTCAATCAGGAGAAAAGATTAAGTTGATTTTTCATTGTGTGCGAGTTTCAATAATTTTGATATTTCAGCGACATATTTCCAGCCTCACCTTTGGAGGTGATATTACCACTGAAGCGGAGCAGTAGCTGGTCTCCCTCACACATGGACATCTCCGAGGAGGTCTCCAGCAGGCCGCTGTAGCCCTGGACTTTGAGTTTGGATAGCTCCCAGCTGAGGTCTCGGCTGGGCAGAGCGGCCACCAGGACTGCGTGAGGCTCGTCTGGTCTGCGCTGGAGGATGACCGTGACCGCGTGGCAGGAAACAGACTCCTCCAGCTCCTCTGCTAAGGAAACGAGGTGGCAAGGCTGCAGCGGAGAGAGGAGGCGAACCACCAGCAGTCTGATGGGCGAGGAAAAAGACACTGAATTAAGACATAGGGCTCAGCAGAGAGATAAAGTTAATGGAGAAGAGAGGGAAGAGACAAGTCCGTTATCATGAGCTTGAATACAGACGTAATATACTTAAAGACACAATAAAGACTTCATATTACCTACTGTACTTTCATAACTCCCTGGGGAGGCTTCTTAAGATCAGAAAGAATTATTGTCCTCAGAGAGAAAGAATAAGAAACGGTTCTTATTAAAGGAACAGTTCACAGTGGATTAAAATTAATACTTAATTTGACTTAAAACTAGAAAAGGAAATCTTTATTTTTCCAGTGGTTAGGACGTCTTAAGAGAACTCTTAACAATATCACCTGGAATTCAAAGCATGTCAGCCCCCCCCCTTTATCCATCCATACGTCATTTCTTAAACCCCTTGTGTAAAGACAAGCCTACTATAAGTCGGGTCACTTAGTAGTAGGGTTACACGTTTCTTTTCTTATCATGCTGCTCTCGTGGACTGAACATTTCCAAGAGAAAGGAATAAGCCTCAGGAGTGAAAAAACGACAGCTGCGAGAGTGGTGAGTTTTTTTTCTCAATCATCCTCACTGTTTATTTGACTCTTGGTTAAAAAATGGCAAGAATCCAAACTTTCTGCATGCAAGTTTTTAAGCTGATGGATTTCTTCTTCTGAAATCAGTACTGTATGAGTTTGGGTGTTTTTCTTGTTGAAAATGTGTGTTGTTGTTGCTGCTGTTCTTTACCCTTGCAAAAGAGACCTCTGTTCCTAATGGGACCAACCTGGATAAATTAAGGTTCAGTAAAAAAAAAGGCAGGTCACACAAGCAGGTCAAGAACATGATGTGTTGATAAGGTTTTATGCTTTTTTTTTTCTTTATAATTTTCTTTATGTTATCGAGGTTAAAAATAGTTGCAAACCTAGACAGATATAAATACAACATTTCTGATGTTGTATTTATTCATTTCTAGATTTGCTAGCTCTTGGTTCTCATTTGGCGACCTGTTCATCTGTTGAATTGTTGTTACTGCCGAGATGCCCCTGAGCAAGGCAAGTTACCCCCCCACCAACCAGCTCAGAAGTGCTCACTGTGGGCAGCCCCCTCACTCTGACATCTCTCCCATAGGTTCCTGTTTGTGCATGTGTGTTCTTTACTTTAAGGCATAATCCATGGACAGTACAAACGCTACTTTATCTAGTTCCAACACCAATGAAAATATGACAAAATTGCAAGAAAAGTACCATCCAATGGTTTCTACAACATTTAAAAAAAAAAAAAAAATGTTGTAGAAACATCTCAAACATTTCTTTCCCATATCAACTTGTTTTCTTTTTCTCCGTCTCCAGAGTTCTTTTTGGAGACTCTTCTTATGCATCAAACTCTCTCATGTTGAAGTTTCCACCAGAGCTCACTGTCCACAAGTAAGATCCATTATTTTCAAATGACTTCAAAATGAACATTTGTCTTGTAATAGTCCTACAACACTACTTCTTACACAAAAAAGCGATCAGAGTTAGAGCACTAGTACATTGCTTTGTAACGCATTACCCCCAACACTGCTTAATGAGGAACAGTTCAGCCGTCTTTAGTCTGTTGGACACTTACAAAATCTGCTCCTCTTCTGGGGCTAATTTGAATTTCACAACAATCCCTATACTCCCTTTAGTCAAGCAGCAGAAGTGGAGCGTTAATGTGAAAAAAATGTTGTGTAGTCTTAATAGTCACAGGTTTATAACAGAGGCCGTAAACCTCAGCTGGACCGACCCCTTAAAAATTGGGGGAACAAATGTAGAGTATACCGACTTCTTCATGCATCCCTACACCACTGCATACACCACTCTCTCTCTCTCTGTCTCTCGCTCTCTCTGTCTCTGTATGTGGCCAGGGACAATGTGCTGTACTTCCTGTATGTTGTTGGAGGACTCCTGATGACGGCCACTGCAGGAAGTCAGTGTGTTGATGTTTTTGTGAGGACGGCCCAGAACCCCGCTAACCTACTGCGCCTGTCTAACACACTCATTGGGCTCATGGGCCTCCAATGCAAAATACATGTGAGACAACTGACACTGATTAAACTACAATACACACTGTTTTTCTCCCTTAAACTTTTTAACTGGATATTTGTAAGTGTAACTGCTGTAAGTTTTAACTGCATTTCTCTTTCTTTTTTTCAGGCTAAGTCTGCATCACCACGGAAACAGAAAATACTTTATTTCTCTGACAGGTGTGCAAGGAAGTTACATTTTTCTCATTGCTATTACATCTATTGACTTTCTGGCATCAAATGCTTTTTTTAATGATCTCAACATCTGTTCCAGTTTGAAGAATCTTTTTGACATGACAAACCCACTGCAAGGATGTCTTCATTCAAAGGTTTTATGTCTGTTCCCGGAGAAGCAAATGAGCCGGGAGTCGTCTCCTGCTAATTGTATCTCAGCTAAAAGGTACATCATCCTGCAGGTTTGGCTTCACGTGATTTTATCAGTGACATTTGTAAATTTTTGTATTCTGTGGTCAGATGCAGGATCTATTTTATCCTGCTGTGCGGTGTGAGGAGACGGACCATTCTGATTTTGTGCATTGGCAGCAAGAGAAGCGAGCTGAAAACCTTCAAACCAGAGAATCAGTTACAGTGGCTGATTGAGTTTAGCAGCAAGGCACAAGCACGAGGAGATGTGGTATGAGACTTCTTCTTGTTATTCATCAAACAAAATGTGCTTAAGAATAGCCTACTGATAATGTTTTTTGATCTTATTTTTCAGATTTTTCTTTTATTGAGTGCACAAAGTGGACGTATTAGCTCCATATCTGACGCTGATGATGCTACCCATGAACCTTTGAGTCTAAACCTGGGATTGTCTCTACTGTTTGTCTCCTTTCTTTGGATGTTCTTACCTCATATCACAGTTTTTGCTTTGATCTGTTTTGCTTTAAAAAGAACCTCAAGAAGTTAAATCAGCTCTGCAGTCGCACAAATTGCTAAATATCTAGATACTGACGCAACTTGTCAGAAATGCAGCAAAGGATTCAAACATGTGTGGCCCTGTTTCTCTCTCTCATCCCTCTGTGCACCTGAGTGCAATCTGCACTTAAAGGAGGAGGGGGGAGATTTAGAGGAGCAGGTAGAGTAGAAAATACTTTGGTACACACACTCGCTAAGCATGTCTTGAGGAGCTTTGTTTCTCCATCTTACTTTGTTCTATTTTTCCCCAAACCCAGGTATTTATTTCTTTACCTCTGCATGTTTAGATTGCTGGGTTTTGCTATTTGAGTCTCTAAGCTCTTGGTCTATAGTCTCCATGTTTTGAGCATTGGTTTTATTATTCTGGTTAACACTGTCACATTGGAAAGCAAATGTTAACTATGTTTTTTAAAGAAAATCCGGGCTTTCATACCAAATCATATTTGGAGCCAAGCCTTTTTTTTGCAGACGACAAATGGTCTCGAGCACTGCAGCAAGGCTCCTGACCTATCAGATAACTGTATTAGTTTAATCTCCCCTCCATGCAGTGGCTCCTTTTTAAATCAACCCTTCCTGTGTTTATCTGCAGGGCACTATAAAGTCTATTTCTGACCTCTTCACATGAAAATAAAAATTTGATTAAATCCTGATGTACTCAAGCTCAAATTAATTTTGGTTTTACTATGTATTGGTCTGTGTTTGAATAAAATGAACCTTTTTATGTTTTTTTATTTTACAAAAAACTCCCAACTTCCAAATAAGATGTTGTGTGTCAAACCTTCAAAGTTCTCCGTCAGCTCAAAGGACACCAGTCCGTTTTGCTGGTTCCTCGCTGTGACCTCATCAAGGACGCTCCACTGTTTGTCTCTTGAACCCAGAACAACCAGCAGCTCATTGGACATCTCCTTGGACTTCACAGAGGTACCCAGGATTCTGACAAAAAAGCATAAAAAGCAAAATAGCATTATTATAAGACTTAGAAATTAGCTGAAACTTCTTTAGTGTTATAGATATTTGGTGATAAACCAAAGAACTGACCAACGATGGAGTTGTTCATTCTGAGAACAAGAACATGTAACCCCTAAAAAAAAGAAAATCCATCCAAAAGTTTTAAGTAGTTTCACTCAAAACTACAATTGTCAACCTCACAAATGTTATATTATTATGTAGGGTTGAACTGATGGACCAAAACAGCCATCCTTTTAGCTACGTTGCTAGTGGTGCTAAATTAAACCTTTCTTGTCATAGATGGTTTGCACAGGCACAATGTATGTTTGACAGTAATTTCACCTGGGAGCTGTAATCCAAATGTCAAGGCATTTACTTTTGGACAGTGATCATACCACATCTTTTACCTCTGTTATACAGTATAGTTCAAATTTTAGTTACTACTCACATCTTTCTGTGGGAAGCAGACTGTTCCCACATTGGAGAAGCGCTAACAGGCCAGATTTGTTGGTCTTGCTCCTCCAGTTGTCCCCTCCCTTTCCTCTTCTTTTCCAGGTTAGGAGGACAGGGAAGGGTCAAAGTGAGGGGTCTTCTCAGGGGCTGTGAGGATGGGTGGGTGAGGTAGAGTATTGGACTTGTAGACACCACTGAGTGATAGACATCATTTCTGGACTTAATAGCAGCCAGCAGTACTGCGTCTATGGGCTGGATCTGAGGCAGAAAGAAAACTGATGTTCTGCAAAATCTAGGCACAAGTGATGGACAGAGATTTGATATGAAAGTTGTTTTTTTCTACTCTTGTGTTTTGATCAGGACAAGCTGCTTACCCAAAGAGACATTTGGAAAGAGGAAACTGTGGGTTTTTGATGCTAGATCAAGCCAGACTGCTGTAGTTGAGGTTACTTTACAGATGATATGACTCAGAAGTAATTTCAGGTTTTGGGTACAGCTGTTAAAGCCTACAGCAAACATCTTCAGACTTGATTTACAAGCATCAATCTGTTCCTTCTTCTCTTGCTTGTTTTTTGTGTTTCCCTTTCCTAACACCTCTTTTCCCTTTTGGAACAATTTCAATATTCCAGCAGTGACAAGTTTTCCAACTTACATCAATGTTTTTAACCACTTTTAAATCTCAAACTGCCCTTAACAAACTACTTTTCAGTTCAGTTTGTGAACACGTTGTATTAAAGCCAAAGTGGAAGACAGATGGTGGGGATAAAAGCATCATGTCCATACCATGGTTTGTGCCATTACTGGAGCAGTGAAGGATCTGGGAGGTAGTTCAGACAGATTCTGGGGTCCATGCTAAGTTTGAGTGACAAACCCTTTCTGAGAATGGTATAATTCTCTCTCTTGAGACAGGAAACTACTGCAAACAGGCCCAGGGAGTAAACTTTCACCTCTGCAAATGAGCCCTGACAAAGACAAAAAAACACAACAGAAATGAAATCATCTATTTTGGAAAAAGTGTTGAATCATACAGCATATATTAAAAAAATATAGTGTAAGTAAAGCAGTGTTAGAGTTTTTCCCTGATAGATAACATTACAGAGCTGTACTTGCTTTTGAGTCTGTTGAAAGCAAGCCTTTTTTTTAACAGACATTAAGCAAATAGTCTCAGTGAAGATGCTCTGCTTGGTTTAGATATATTTTCAGAAAGAGATTAATTTTAGTTGAAAATAACAAATTCAGTGTCTCAAAGGTGCACCACATGGTTCTATACTAGGTCTTATATAATTTTAAAAATGTATAAACAACAACAAAGTTTTGTTTTAATGCAGATGATATGAAGATATATGATATATAATGTTATGATTTTATCATCCATCTATTATCTATACCACTTTTTCCTGTTTGGGGTTTCGGGGGGCTGTCATTGGGCAAGAAGTGGGGTTACACCATGGACTGTTCGCCAGTCAATCACAGGGCTGACATATAGAGACAGACAACCAGCCAAACTCACATTCTCACCTATGGGTGATTTAGAGTCACCAATTAACCTGTGAAACACGTCTTTGGACTGTGGATGGAAGCTGGAGTACCCGGAGAGAGTGCAAGCATTCAGAGAGATCATGTAAACTCCACACAGAAAGGCCAGGAACTTCCTCGCTGTGAGCAACAGCGCTAACCACTGCATCACGGTGCAGTCGTATCATTTTACCAATTGAACTTTATTCTCTAAATATACAGTGACTTGTTATTGAATTCAAAATGGTCTCTTCTATTGAACTTTTTGAACTAAAGCTGTTTAACCACTAGGGTTGTTATTTGCAGTGTTAACCTCACACAAAAAAAACCTTGCTTTCTGTTTGCAGCAAAAAAACCTGTTTCATTTAAACATTTATTTCCAGGCCTTTTTGTCTTTAAAGGACCAGGCAGAGATCAGGGAATGACATACAGGAAAGGAGCCGAGGGTCGAGCTTGTGCCCCCAATTTGGAGAACAATAACCTTTGGGATGTGTGGGTCGTAGGAACTAACCGCTAGGCCAGCCGGCAACCTTTTAAATTGTATTAATGTGTTTAATTTAATTCTGTAAATCAGACCCTGTATCTTTTTCTGTGAAATGCCCTTTGAGACACAACAAGAGTGAGACAACCCTGAGGTTGCCCTGATTGATGTGGTGTTTCTAATCCTGTGTTACTATGTGGCCTGCAGATTGAGCGGAGAAAGGGGTCATTAGGCCAATCAAGCACACCTGGCTCATTGGCTCCCATGCAGCTAAGGAAGCTCACTCTCTCTCATTCACAAAATGTGACCGCTTACCAGCTCTCTACCCGACCCTGTTTTTTGTTCTGAACAAATTTTGACACACACACTGTCAAACTCATCCACAATTGGTAAATGGACTTCAGCTTGTATACCACTTTTCTAGTGCTAGCTATATATAGAAGGTTAAAATAACTGAATAAACAGGGCAATGAAATATAAGGTAGGCAAAATAAAACTGTACCCTCTGCCCTCCATATGTCCCCTCTGTTGTTACAGGAGTGACATAGCTTGCCCTCCTCTCCCGGTCGACCATCTTGACAGCTACGTCCCTGTAGCTGCCACGGTAGTGTGCACAGAAAGGTAAAACCAGAATCACGGGGAAATGAAAGTTAGCTCCATTCTGAGTCGTGACCCAGATCACTCTGCTGACCAGCTCCTCCGAGCCGGTCACCATCAGGCAGCTCAGGGCGTCTGCCACCTCACATGTCAGGAGTTCAGCCACACCCATGGGTGCTTTGATGAAGCATGCATCTGGGACATCTGAATTGCTGTCCACTTGTTGACCAGCAAGCCTGAAAATAATTTAAAATGGATGGATTGAAAAACAGACACAAGGCACATTAGAAGCAGATAATAAAACAACTGAAGAGAACAACCTACCCAACTGTGATCCATGTGTTTGTTTCATATTTGCTCTCGTCTTTTACTGGATTCAAGGTCTTTTCTGTCTCATCCTGGCAATCAGTTTGACAATCTAGAGGGACGCAGTCCTCATTTCCACTCCCCAGACTTTTGACAGCTAGTTCTCCCACCGTCCCCTCCACTACGATGCAGTCCAAACTGCTGACCCTGATGTCTGAATTTTGCACAGCTTCTGGGGATGGCATTGTTTTTCTTTGATTATCTTCAGCCTCCATATCTTGTTTAATACCAGAGTCAAGTTCAAGGTCATCCTGGGAGGGATTACTGTCATCTTCAGGTTGCTCTGATGCTTCTGGATCTCTGGTCTCCTGACGTGCTGCAACCTCATCATCACATGAGTTAAGGATTTCTTTGTCCAGCTTCAGTATGATCGTGTTCAGGTTGTCCATAATGTTCTTTATATCCTCCTCAACACTCAGAAAAGTATCAGTCAAGGAGTCCGAGCAGAGTGTAACATCACGCTCTGTAAACAGAATACATGTATAACTTAGATTAAGACTTGAAAATTGAACATTTACTCACAACACTGCCAATTCTTTTTGCCTATTTTAAATACATGTCATATGGTGTTTTTACACCAAAACTCAAAATGAATTAAATACATTTTTTGGGGTCAGCTGCCCCTGTGAATGTACGCTGCTAAATTATTCACCCCGACTTGACCCAGACAGTTTCCTGTCAGCCCAATGGTGACATTTCTGGTGAAGTCTGGATGAGCAGATTAATGAACACAGGGTGGAATAGTGCTACAATGTGAGACAAGACAAAACTAGTAAAGAATGTTTTTTTACTCATTATCTGTATTTTTAAATATCATGTTCAGCTGTCTTTATTTGCTGATAACTTAAAAAAAAAAAAAGGCCAAAGAAAGAACCTGGAACAATAAGGTTACTTACCTGTTGTAGCTGGATGAAGCTCATCACTGCCCCCTGATGGAGGCTTGGTAAACATTTCCACACACTCTCTGAGAATGTCTCTCCATGCTGCCACTCTGTCTGAATGAAAAACACTCAGCGCCCTCAGCACTTCCACAACTTTCTTCCTACACCCTTTCTCCTCCCGCTCTTTTTCTAAATTTTTTCCTCCTCCTTCTTCTTCTTCATCCTCCACTTCTAGACCATGCATCCTTCTCTGTACCCCTCCTCCTCCTCTACCTGCTTCTACTGTGCTTTTTATTCCACCCACTGCCTCATTACGGGGATCTCTGCAGCGTCTGACAGCTTCCAGCCCCTGAAAAGTTTCCGCCAACATGCTGAGGAGAGTTTCCTCCTTTCTCCTACCACAGGAGAGACTCAGCTTCATCCATCTGTGAATTTAGCTGCAGATTTGTATCCATGCCGAGCTGAAAAACAGAACAGAAAAGAGTTTAATTTGGACTGCTTTCTGTCCCTAACTTTGCTCCTTTAACCAAATTAAAATCAAATATTCTCCCAAAATACCCTTAATTCCCTTGTGTTCCTCCTTGTGTTTTTGAAGCTGAAGCCCCCTCGTCCGCTGTGTCCTTGGCATTGAAATTTGCTGTGTACAGCTTTCCCAGTTTGGGAGCCAATGCTGTATTTCTATGGCTGCCAGCAGTAAAACATGTTGCCAAGGCGAACCCTGGAGGCGTGGCGGGGAGGGACAAAAGAGAAGCCACAAAAACAAAAGATTCACAGGAAGACAGACGACCCACTATCACTCATTTTACTGCTTGAATGTCCGGACAGTAAAAAAAAAAAAATGCCAGCTCTTAAATTGGAAACAAGCTGTATGGTTAAAAAACATCCACTCTTATGCAAATGTACTGTTCAAACAGTGATGCAGGTTTAAAAATAAAAAGTCGAAAGTGCTGTACTATCATAATCATAAAACAGACTCAGACCAAATAAAGACAGCGAAATTAAATAGTGCTGTGGTTCCCAAACTTTACCATAACATGTAGCATTGATCTCAGACCCCCTTCTTGCAACATTAAAGAAGGCTACCGTAAAACGTCTAATAAAGGCCCATCCCAATTTAATGTAAACGAACTAACAAAGGAACAAACTACAAATGTGCACACTGTTCTGTTCCGCGTGTAGCTAAGCTAGTAGCATCTTAAGTCGCTGTGATGTGCGTTTTCCTACAGTCTGTGTGGCACAAGCAGGGCATCAGGTGATGATTTGATTGGCAGGTAGAGCCTGGCAGCAGAGCGGAGGACGTGTTGTTTCCTATGTGATAGCCATCTCAGTCATGCTGATGTGATTGGTTGCTCTTGAATCCCATACAATGTTCGGCTGAGGGGACATTGAAATGGCAAAATTATCAAACATGCGGCCTTTTCTGCAATTATTGATCGTATGTCGTACAGAGGGCAAAATGATGGTACAAATAGGATAGTTACCGTAGATCTGGCAACACTGGCTCTGAGGTTGACAAACTTAAGTTGGCACATACCAACTCAAATCATGATAGGCCACTTACTGGATAGTTAATGCAAAGGTCTTTTGGAATGTGTCTGTTCTGTTGTTATCGTATCATCAACTTTCAACTAAGATTTATGTACATTTCTGTCTGCCATGGATCATTTTTTACTTCTGATTGAATCCATTTTGGGTCTCAGCTTTTCATATAGATACAAGTGGGGGGGGGGACTCCAAGGAACTCATCTAAGTTACATTTGCAAAGCTTTAAACACCATGTCTGAATTTGCAGTGGATTGGTCAAAGCAGGAAAAGAACCAGTGTTACTTTTATTATCAACAATGGCTTTCCTCTATTTTCAATCAGGAAAGACTTGAATCAAAGATGAATATATTTTACAGAGATGTGACATTGAATTATTGTCAGAGAATCGTTGGTGCTTGATCACTACAGAGTGAGCATGTGTGAAGAATATTATGTAATATAGTATGAGATTAAACATTGCAACTGTAATGACCACAAAAACACCACAAGGGATTGGACTCACAGGACACGGCCTCTGAGTGAAGTAAACAGTCTTTACATAAAAAAGCAAAAACAAAGTAAGAGGCAGACAGAGATCAATCGTCTAAACATGAGGAACTGAAGGCCGCTTGACACTTGGTACAAAGACGAACGGGATCAGAAGGAAGGGGAGACAGGACTAAATACTAAAGTGTGGGGACGACAATGAGACACAGGGAGACAATCAGGGCAGAGCAGACAATCAAACAGGCAGGACATGAGGACAGGAAGTGGAGGATCTGACACCAGAGGAGAGGTGAGTAACACAAAATAAAACAGGAAATAACAAATGGAACAACAAAAATGAAAACATAACCTTAGAGGCAGCGCTGGACATGAGAAAAACTAGCATGCACGTTATAGTCTTCCTAATGAACTTTCCCTAGAGCTACATCTTATCAATGAAATTCAGCCATTATTGTTTTTTATATTTATTTTCACCTTTCTTTTCACAAATGTGAAATATGAACATGTCCTCAGTGGGAGCTTATTTTGTCTCTGACATTTCAGCTGCTGCCTCCTAAAGCCGCAGTGCTGCAGCACCATCTTGTGGCAGAACATGCACACTTCTATTCTATCACTTCATGATATTCTGCACTTCTGTGCAGCGACGGCAAAAGAGATTTACAGCATTAAATAATTGTATGTATTGATAAAGAAAAAGAAAAGTAAAAGCTACAACCACATACACAACACAAAATACTAGTATTTGAAATATGTAGAGCAAACTGTAAGCTAAATTTACTTTTTTCTTGAATGTTTAACATGTTTCACTTTCACCAGTTTGACAAGCAACCTGTTCCTGAAAAAATAATATTTTGAGTCAAGGTTTTTTGGGGAGTGGGGGGGGGGGGGACTATTTCAGATCTGCATTTAGAGACAGGACCAAGCGGCAACCTCCTGTCTTGAAAAATGAAGCCAATGCGGAAGTGCAAAATCCTGCAGTTCTTCGAGTGACCGCTTGAAGCTGGATCCAAGAGCCCCGGAAGTCACATACACACCACAGCCAAAAAAAAGCTGTTTTTACAGCATAAATAAACATGTTTATTTATGGGCTGCCCGTTTTGAAGACCACGGGCGCTGTACATGGGGCGCACGCTCTAATTTCTAGGCTACCGGCATCACACAAAATGAAATGCATGAATGAAAGCGAAAGTCAAGTTCAAGTGTGCTACTTGTTAGATTGGGTTTGTAAGTATAGCTATTACTTTATCATCTATCATAAAAGATACACTTGTATATGAAAACAGTGTTTAATCTGTCGACTGCTTGTGCTGACACATATTATCTCACAGTTTCATTTCTGTTCAATCTAATGCAAAATCCGATGCATCATTATAATACAGACATCCAACAATGCCATACAATATACTATCATCAACCGAAGTATTCTCAAATAATACACAAGACATTATATTGAGACAAAATGTGCCTCTTTTCCCTCCCTTAGGACTCGCCTCATTAAATGTACCTGGCACTCTGCTGCATTCCTGTCTGTGTTGAATGTGTAGCCCGGGGCCTTCAGGATCAAGCTGGGACATGCACGTTTTTCCCAGCAAAACATCACAAGTGCTTCCACTTGGCTGTCCTGTGGTGCTTTCACATTTCATTAGACATTTACTGAGAACTATTGCAGCTCAAATCATTTATATTGCCTATCAATACACCGAAAGTTTCTGCTACATTGATTGGAGACATGTTATCCTTAATACTGTTATGGTACATTTGAAGGGGCATTAGTGAAAGTAGGTTGAGGACTGGCACTGAACTCCTGGCACTTCATTTGAAGTGGGCGTGGTGTTACTCGCAGCGCGTGAACCGACAGGGGAAACAACAGAGGAGCGTCAAACAGCGCGCCGTGTCAGGGCTCCCGACAAAATAACACAGCGGCAAAATATGACAAACTTGACCCACCGACAGCGTGAGGATGCGCTGAGGATGCTTCGCTCTTGTCTTCAACCCGCAGGTAAGCCCCGCCGACACGCTGCACGCACGGCGGCTGCGTTGAACACGTAATGTGAATTGTAATGTTGTGTTTATGGTCTCTAAAGAAGACAGAAGTGGGGATGACACGAGCTAGCTGAAGTAGAACGAGCCTTTCTACGGGTCACATCCTGTTTTCAATTATTTACTGGTAAGTGAGGTACATGGATAAAAAGAGTAATGAGAAGTTGAAGTGAAACTACGTCAGTCACCTTAGTGTCTCTTTTACAATTAAGTGATGTAATATCTTTTTCCAGTAAGTGTCAACACACAAATGAGCACCTGTCGCACGTGCCAACTTCACTGTGTGTGCTTTCAATGAAAACACACACCTGCTATAAATGACAGTAACAGCTTTTATTAAAAAACAAACAAACAAACAAAAAACTGTTTTGAAAATGTATTCTCTAAGCGAAATATGTTTCACAAATATCACTTAATTGTAAAGTTTAAAAAAATATAATAAATAAAAATAGTTCAGAACATTAAAAGCAGGTGTTTCGTTTCAAACCAGGAAGGGGACACAAAGTTGGACTTTGTTCCAAGTATGTTGCTGAAGGATGTGTAGAAGCATGAGGTACTGCAGGCAAGGTGTGTTTGTTGATGTGCATGCATGGGCGTGCAGGCTGTGTGACTCACTTCTTTTTAATATATAACCATACCTGAGCGGTGTGTTAGGCGGGGGTGCAGCGGGTGTAACACACAGCACTTTTGTGATGGCAGCAATGCTTCCGGCTATAACCTAGTTTTGTTTGTATAGGGGGAACAATTACATGCTCAAATTGTTTGTGCTTTACTATTGTATGTCAGTGACTTGAATGAGCATGGATTTCCAAATGAGCCAGTAAAAGTAGCACAAAGAGGCACAAAACCGCTTCAAAGATACAAGTAGCCTTACTACAAGGAGTTGCAAGGAACTGAACAGATATGCCAGAACTGTACACACCCATTCGAAACAGCTGCAAAGGGACGCACAGCAAGTTCACTGATGCAAAATAACTTGACAAGGGTTTGAAACAGCTATAAAGGGATGGAAATCAATAACAAAGATATTCAAAAGATCATACAGGGGTGCAACAACAACTGTGCAGAGATGCAAAACATCCATCCATTCAATATCTCCGCTTTTCACGTTCAGGGTCGCAGGGGGAGGGAAGATGGGGGGGGAGCCGATCCCATTGGGAGAAACCTGCAAAACAACTACACACAATTGCAAATTAGTATTAGTTGCAGCATTATTACACAAAGATTCAAAACATCTATTTCTTGATGTGCACTTGTTTCATTTTAATTTCTATAGGGACAAGTATGGAGCAAGTACAGTGGCGATTATAGATTCTGTTGGGGCCCTGGGCAAAAATCAATGGGGGGGGGGCGTTAAACCAGCGTTCATCACCACTATGTCTGC